ATACTTGTTTGTTACTAGGTTCCCTCATGTCTGCGCCATGGTAGGTGTTACTCAGGCTGGAGGGTGCTTGTTAAGAGCGGTATGCGCCCTGATCTGTCGATATTGGGCATGTCGGTTAAAGGACCACTCTAGGCACCCAGACCACTTCAGCTTAATTAAGTGGTCTGGGTGCCTGGTCCAGCTAGGGTTAACCCATTTTTTAATAAACATAGCAGTTTCAGAGAAACTGCTATGTTTATGAATGGGTTAAGCCTTCCCCCATTCCCTCTAGTGGCTGTCTCATTGACAGCTGCTAGAGGCGCTTGCATGCTTCTCACTGTGATTTTCACAGTGAGAGCACGCCAGCATTGATAATGCTTTCCTATGTGACCGGCTGAATGCGCGCGCAGCTCTTGCCGCGCGTGCGCATTCAGCCGACGGGGAGGAGAGAAGGAGGATCGGAGGAGGAGAGCTCCCGCCCAGCGCTGGAAAAAGGTAAGTTTTTACCCCTTTCCCCCTTCCAGAGTCGGGCGGGAGGGGGACCCTGAGGGTGGGGGCACCCTCAGAGCACTATAGTGCCAGGAAAACGAGTATGTTTTCCTGGCAGTATAGTGGTCCTTTAATTGCTTACGGCGCTTGTGCTAAAGAGATGCCGCTTGGCCAGAGGAGCAGTCGGTGACCTAAAGCATATTTTGTGGTAGCTGGTATAAGTGCAGGCCGTATTAGGTCTGTCTCAGGGCATGCTACTGATAGCTTGTACAAGTGTGAGTGAGAGCATTGCACATCACAATTAAAGTTATGGGGGGCAGTGTATTCTAGGCTAGGTGTCTGACTGTAAGCTTACAAAGCCAGTTGGAAAGTACAGGTATTTACATACTATGAAACACATAAGGTAAAAATAAACTAAAACTTAACGGACATCACGTTAATGCGACCATGGAGATATACAGTGAAAACTGAACAGAAATGTGTGAACATAAAGTCCCAGTTTAGCAGCGGACGTCGCCTTTAGGCGGGAGGTTCGGAGATGCTTGGCTCAAGTCCCCTTGGTACGAATGGTCTGATATTGGCCACATTCCTCGTTGGGCCTTGTACCACTTGTAAAGCTGTAGTCGGCACCCCGAGAGTTTCGAGGAAAGCCGGAGCATCTGATATATGTATAAGAGGGTACATCTTGCCTTCCCTTTCCACCAGCAGGCGATGTGGTCCCCACTTGTATGGAATTGTCCCGGAGCTGCTGCGTGATTTGTTTGAAAGATCTCCTCCATGTTAGGGTGTGTCTGGAGTAGTCCTGGAAAAATGCCAGGTGAGCCCCCTCAAAGGAAACCGTTGGAGAGCCTTTAGCAGCCCCCATGAGCACCCTCCGGTCAGAGTCCCTCACAAATTTTATTAGCACATAACTCAGGGCTTCTATCAGTGCTTTGCTGGCCCTGGGTAGGCAAAAACAGGAGTCAATTCCTAGCTGTTTTGCTTGTTTAGGCAAGAGGAGGGTGGCTATAAGCCGTCTGCAATAGTGAGGCAGCTCGGCTGCAGTGATTGTTTCGGAATTCCTCAGATTCTCAGGTTGCGTGCTTTAGACCTGTCCTCCATATTGCCCTGCTGCTGGGGGACAGGACCGACTGTCCCTACCCCCTGTGGTTTGGACACAGAGACCACGGTCCCATCTGCACCGGTGTGGGGCTTATCATCTCCCCTTGGTGGGCTAGACTGCCGCTGGGGAGGGGGAACGAGACTCTCCCCTCCCAGTAGAATTCTCTGCTGCTGGGGAGCGGGACCTACTGTCCGTACTCCCTGTAGCTTGGGCGCAGAGACCACGGTCCCATCTGCGCTGGTGGGGGGCTTAGTGTCTCCCCTTGGTGGGCTACGCTGCTGCTGGGGAGAGGGGATAACAAGCTCCTCTCCCTTACACACTTTCAGCCGCTGGGGAGAGGGGGTAACAGGCTCCTCTCCCTGACACTCTCTCTGCTGGTGGAGAGGGGGACCGACTGTCTCCCCTTTCAATATATTGTCCTGCTGCTTGGAGGCGAGACGACTATCTCTGCTCCCTGCAGGACACTCTGCCGCTGGAGAGGAAGGACGGCACCTTTGTCTCCCTGTAACTCACTCTGCCGCTGGGGAGGAAGGACGACACCTTTGGCTCCCTGTAACTCATTCTGCCGCTGGGGAGGAAGGACGACACCTTCGCTCCTGTAACTCACTCTGCCGCTGGGGAGGAAAGATGACACCTTCGGCTCCCTGTAACTCACTCTGCCGCTGGGGAGGAAGGACGGCACCTTTGTCTCCCTGTAACTCACACTGCCGCTGGGGTGGAAGGACGGCACCTTCAGCTCCCTATAACACACACTGCCGCTGGGGATCTGTTTTCTTCCCCCATCCCTGTAGGGCCGGTAGAGAGACCGCAGTCCCATCTCCACCTGCCATCTGTGGGTCTTCCCAGGACCAGTCTGTGAGGTCCCTCAACATTTGCGTGTAAGGACCACTAGCTTCGGCACCCGCTAACTCCGGCTGCTGCTGGGGATCTGGGCCGGCTGCCCAGCATCCCATTGGACCCGGTGGAGAGACCTCAGTCCCATCTCCACCTGCCTGTTGTGGTTCCTCACAGGACCAGTCTATGAGGACCCCTACTTCGGGTTCCTCTGGCCGCCTCCGAGGGAAACGGTTAACCTCCTCGAATACAGCCTCTCTTTGGCTGCTCTAACACCCTTTCTGCTGAGCATATTCTCTCTCTTTCACCAGCCGGAATTCTCGGTCCATCCTTGTGTTTCGCTCGGCTGTGACCTGGTTCCAGATCGCCTGGAATATATCCATGGGCACATTATCACCATACTGGGCCACTCGCTGCCTCACCTCGGCCAGCCAATCATCGCCAGAGCCTTCCATTGTTGTCTGCTCCAAGTCGCTGGATACCTTTGCTCCCAGGGGCACTGCACGAGTGCTAGCGTTGCCCTCAATTTGTAACTCCACGAACGGTGTCTCTGAGCTGCTTTACCTCGCACTAGGACGCCATCCCACCGCTGCCACCAATGTAACGGATCACCTGGCACCCCGACTGGGTACCTCCGTTGAAGGATGCTCCTAGCGCTTCCTGAGGACTCCAAGCACTGCAGCAGACACCACAACCACCGAACCAGAGAAGCATACGAATGCTCTCAAGCATATGAATGCTGTAAGCAGCTGAACAGGAAAAGCATACAATCAGCTTACACCCCTGGCAATCAGCATACAATCCAATTCCCCCAATAACGAGACGACACTTCGTTTTGAGGTCAAGCAGAACTGACTGTACTGGCACATACAGCCTCTTTTATTCACAATCCACAAACATAGTACTGCCCACAGGGTTTTGAAATACAACCAATCAATTTGTACAATACACACAGACACTCCCACACAAAATCCTCCCCTCTGCCTAATACAGTATTATAAAACACATCACAGGGACACCAAAACATGCAATAACCCCATAAAAATCACATATCCAAAATTCACCCAGATCCGTTCAGTATGCAGTTTAATGCAGATTCCGCAGAACATATACAGGCTATATGAAAAATAGTTACTGTTAAATGTGTCCCCTGTTGTATAGTTTAAAACTACTGAACGATGTCTTTGTGCACCAAATACTGGCGAGATGGCACCGTGTAGAAAAGTCCAAACAGTGTGTGTGAGTTAAAATGGCCGCCATCCATTGTTCTCACCATGTGCTTCATCCATTGTTCTCACCATGTGCCTCTGATACATGAAATGGTGGCCACCCAGTAACTCCACAGTATGTCCCCAGATAGTTCTTAAAGGGCCAGCAGCAGCATAATAAATACTGTATTGAAAGGGTAATACATCCCAGGGGCCATAGTCACATGGCAGGAGGCTGGCAATCAGTCTTCTCCAATGCCCAGTGGCGAGGTCGGTTTCGCCACAGCTTGGATGTCCTTCATTAAGGCCTTTATATCGGCTTTCGTAGCTGGAGCAGTGTCCCCCAGCTCCGTGGGTACCATGGGCTTTGTCCGAGCCGGTAGGTCGGTCAACAGGCCGTCGTCGTCCGACGAATGAGAGTAGGCCTCAGCCTGCGCCATCTTTGGAAGTCCGGCGGCATGGCCGTGCGCATATAAGCCCCAATATCCTGGGAGCCCGGGCCGGGGTCCACTCGAGACTTTTTTGTTTTCTTCCCCATGTCGTAGGGCACACGTGGAGCTGTTTAGAGTTGAGCAGTGTGTATTTTTTAGTCCGATATCGGTCTTTAGCGGGTTTAGCAGACGGAGCTGTGGCAACGTGCGTCTTGCTGTCTCTGGCGCTGGCTTTGCCCCTCCGTATTTTGACTCTTTTAACGCTCTTTTCATGCAACCATTTTACCACTAATCTATGCCAAATCTAAAAAAAAAATTATAATTTGTGTTTTTTTTTATTTTGACACACGTAGCAGTTTAAGAATACATGTACTGAGAACTTCAATGCTTACAGCCAAAGAACATCCCAATACGTGTTCAGCAACATCTCCTGAGAACAGTGATACCACCCATGTATAGGTGTGTCGGGTTCCCTGGGGGCTAAAAGACCTTATTTGGAGGCTGTGCATTCCAGTTTTCCAACTTGGAATTTTCACAGCAGGTGATCATGCACCCATGTCCTGTTTGGGACATTTTTGAAGCCGGCCAATGTAATTTACCCCCATCAAACCATATATTTTTTTTTAAAGTAGACAACCCACGATATTCAAAATAGGGTATGTCCTTTTTTTTTTTAGTAGCCACTAACCCTGTTTTTTTTTTCATTTTTTACTGCCATTTCACCAATGATATTATATAATATATTTTACTGCTCTAAGACACTTGTACTCGTGAGACATTAGTCTACACAAATATAACAGTACCCCTCAAGTATAGGTTTTATGGTGATTTGAAAAGTTACAGGGTCAAACATAAGATTTGCCAATTTCGATTTTTGTAAATTGCTATTTGCCAGATTGGCTATGTTGCCTTTGAGACGGTGTGGCAGCCCATAAATAAAAATAAACCCCACAATGACATACCATTTGAAAAAGTAGACAGCCCATTCAAAATGGGGTATGTCCAGTCTTTTGTAGTAGCCACTTAGTCACAAACACTGGCCAAAGTTAGCATTTATATTTGTTTGTGTTTGAAAATGCAAGAAACAAATATGAACGCTAACTTTGGCCAGTGTTTTACTAGAGAAAACTGGGCTATTTGCAACACCATGGGTTGTCTACTTTTGCAAATGGTATGTCATCATGTCACAATGAGGGTAATTCTTATTCCTGGGCTACGATACGGTAGTATAATATAGTATAATAAGGCAATATAACCAATTTGGCAAATTTCAATGAAAAAAATTAAATGGGCAAGCATTGTATTTGACTCTGTAGCTTTCAAAAACACTATAAAACCAGTACATGGGGTGTACTGTTATACTCGGGAGACTTCACTGAACACAAATATGGGTGTTTCAAAGCAGTAAAACGTATCACAACAATATCATCAGTGAAAGTGCAGTTTTTGTTTAAAACAAAATACAAAAAAAACAAATAAAAATGCTAACTTTGGCCAGCGTTCGTGACTGAGTGGTTACTACATAAGACTGGACATAAATTTTGAATACACTGGGTTGTCCACATTTGCAAATGGTATGCCATGATGGGTTTAATTTACATTCCTGGGATACCATATGTTCTCAAAAGGCAAAATAGACCCAGCAAACCAATCTGGCAAACTGAAATAGGCAAGCCCTATATTGACCCTGTAACTTACCAAAACACCATAAAACCTGTACATGAGGGGTATTGTTATACTTGGGAGACTTCGCGGAACACAAATATCGCAATGATGACATAACCAGTGAAAGTTCAGTTTCTGTTTAAAAAAATTCAAAAAAACAAATACAAACGCTAACTTTGGCCAGCGTTTGTGACTAAGTGTCCACTACAAAAAAACTGGACATACCCCATTTTGAATACGCTGGGGTGTCTACTTTTTCAAATGGTATGTCATGGTAGGGTTCATTTTAATTTCTGGGCTGCCATACCGTCTCAAAGGCAACATAGCAAAATATTGGTACATAGACACTTACCCCTTTAAGAATGTGTTTTTTAGGGGGGTGTACTTGAAATAATAAAAAGAAACACACAGGAATAGTACAATACTGTATAGCATAAATGGGCTAATTTTGATATCAGTGAGTGAAAATAAACTCACATTTTCAAGAGCCTTTTCTTTAGGTTTAGGCTCTAAACTTCAGCTTGTCTGATAACCCCTTGTATAGCTCTGATTTATTTTCTGTTCCTCTCAATATGTATAGATGATAAAACAAGATAGGAAATCTCTAGTTGTAGTACGTTATATAGCAGAATTGATTAAAGCAAAAAGTAATAAAAGTTGGGTGCTCGCCTTTTTTTTTTTTTTTTAAACGAGCCTTTTAGTAACTGGCTCTAACTGTGCTGGCTTTGTTTCAATTTGCAGGGTGACACTACCCTTACTGGAACCAGGTACAATGTGCAGGTTAGAATGAATAATTTATTTGGTACATATTTTAAATTAAAATAACACATGCCACTACAGGTGAGTACCAGGGTCATTTTAGCTGCGGACGTGCAAGGTATGTCCGCGGTCATTAACAGAATTTTTTTTTACCTCTCTCCCCCCCCCCTCCGACGTCCGCTCCCGAGTGGAGCCGAATGCTCAATGTTTACACCATTGTTTAGACCACACAATCAAGATGGTGGCTACGATTCCTGAGATGGCACCCTTGGGCAGCACTAAGTACGAGCAGCCTGCCTGTGGATTGCTAGCCGGTTCGATCGGGTGTGTGCTGCATTCTGGTGCCGAATGCAAGAGCAGAGAAACACAAGCTACACATGTTTACAGTGACCTCCTGGTGGACACAAAGACAAATTGATATTAAAGGGGTCACTAGACTCCGCTTAGTTTTTATTAGATCGTATGGAATATCTCGACACATACTGTTCTACCATGTCATTTATATACCAAAAAAAGTAAGGTCCGCAGCATACTTTCATGTTGTATGAACATTTACACAAAATGGTGTAACCAGTGAATGGTGATGAAATGAACACAGAATTGCAAAATCAAGACAAAAAAAAAAAGTCACCAAGATGTGAGAACTGTTCAAAATTCACTATTTTTGCCTACATTTTGTAAATCAGTTTTCTATTCAGAACTATTCATAGCTTAGTGCATTCAGTGTTCTTCAAAGGCCCAGAAGGGGTTTTGCAATACTTAATATACCAATGAGTTTAACTGTTGGTTTGACTTTATAGCACCTATTTGATTAAAGCAGTGCCATCACCTTCTCCTGCAAAAAGGAGCATTTCATAAAAAATAAAAATCTTTATGAAACTCAATGATCATTTTGGAATTTCACAGAATGAACTTATGAGAACATAGAATGTGATGGCAGATAAGAACCATTGGCCCATCTAGTCTGCCCAATTTTTTTTTTTTTTTTTTTTTAAATACTTTCACTTGTACCTGGCCTTATCTTATAGTTAGGATAGCCTTATGCCTATCCCACGCATGCTTAAACTCCTTTACTGTGTTAACCTCTACCACTTCAGCTGGAAGGCTATTCCATGCATCCACTACTCTCTCAGTAAAGTAATACTTCCTGATATTTTTAAACCTTTGTCCCTCTAATTTAAGACTCTGACCTCTTGTTATGGTAGTTTTTCTTCTTTTAAATATAGTCTCCTCCTTTACTGTGTTGATTCCCTTTATATACTTAAAATGTTTTTATCATATCCCCCTGTCTCGTCTTTCCTGGTAAGTTTTATCCTGCAATCCATGAACCAGTTTAGTAGCCCTTCTCTGAACACTCTCTAAAGTATCAATATCTTAATATCTCATTCCACTGCATCTGGAAACTTCTGCGGCGATCACTTCACAGAACTAGAAACATATGTAGTTTACACAGATGTTTTTCCCCACATTGTGTGCATATGTTACTTCACCATGAGGGGCCCAGAGACAGTGTTGCCTCCTTTTTACGAGAGCTGATATTTTGGAACAAAAGACATATGGGGAGTGTGGTTACAAATGAACAGTTGTCGATATGATAGTTTGAGGCTACACCTTTCATAAGGCAAAGGGACAACCAAACAAAGTAGATAAAATGTAATTGGTGTTTATTGGGATTTTTGTCCAAGTTGTTGCTGTTTGTGGATATCTGCATGAATGGGCACATACAGGGTGGCCCATCCATATATCTTATGTATCTAGTGTATCTGTGTGCTAGATGGGTAGGAACTTATAGGCCACCCTGTAGATACACTTGTTTGCTTCCCTCTACACAAAGTGTTTCCAGTGATCTTAGCGGGAGAACCATAGAGTCAAACAACTACAACTAAAATTCTTTAAAGTCAGTTTATTAGGAAAGGTCATAATCTGCTCATCCAGAAAATGTAAAGTTTGTAATGAACATGGAACACACAAACACCACAAATTATGCATATATCTAAAGCTTGAATAAAGAGGAACACACAAACCCATTCCTAGACATTGTGATACAAGGATTTATTCTGCACGTCAGTGTATTAAATGGGTTCAGCAACACCCCAAGCCTTCTATCATGTTTGTGTACAAAAGTCAGACTACATTGTTAGGCTTAAGGTTCACATTGGACTTTAAATGTTATCCCATCAATATTTAGAAGGGTGGTTCATGTTCCAAATACAGACCTTTAAACCCATCAAAGAGAGAAAGGAAGGGGAGTTGAATTAAAGTGCACAGCCTTCCACACCATGTACAAGAGGCTGAACAAGTACATTGCAGCTAACATGCAATAATAGCAAAGTGACCTGACTAAAAGTATTGTCTTGCAATGTACAGAGTCTTCCTTTAAAAGCCATTTGTATCAGTTTTTCCTTTATGCTTTCTAAGCCTCTATACTGAAGAGATCATGCAGACTAAGCCTTAACATATAAAAAAAAAAAAAAGTCACGAGAAAACCCAAAAAAAAAAAAAAAAAAAAAAAACTGATTTAATAAACTTTGTTGCAACACAGAAAAGGGTTATGTATCAGCATCAACACAGAAAAATCATGTCTGACAACAGGAGAAAACAAACTTGGATGCTTTAATCAGTAAAGCACACAGATCACACATTTATTATAGTAAACGTAAATCTCACAAGATTACAATGGTAAAAACAGTTTCAGGATCTGAATAATTAAAGGGAAAAAAAATAAAAAAGGAAGAAGAATTGGACAATACATGCGGCAAAATTGCCTGCTGCTTAAATGATAAGCTGATGAATTGTCTATTATAAACAGAGCAGTGCAACTAGTTATTTGGAACATTTCTTACAGTGTTACAGTGGCAGGCAAACCAATTCACTTTTCTTCACACCATTGATTCTCTTTGCGTACCTAAAAATTAAACAGGTGCAACAATAGGCTTTAATTATTCGTTAACCATTTAAAAGACAAGATTTCATCTGATTTGCCATAAAGGAGAAGGAACAAAAATATAATATATATATATATTTTTTTATTTATTTATTTTTTTAAATATAGTTTTTTCTCACAGCTGTCAGTCAATGTCTTGGCATTGATTGACAAGGTAGAGCACAAAAGACCTCACACACAGGAGGTCCAGCTACGCTCCAGGTGTGCCAGGTCACAGATAAGATTTGTCCTGCTTAGGGATGCACCCAAGCAGGGCAAATCAAAGACGACTTCGGGAGGAGTGCAGGACGGCCAGGAGGTGGGTGTTTCAGGAAGAGCAACACCCATGTAGTGATGCTGGAAGAGAGTAAATCTTTATATTTTACTTTGAAAAAACTATGTACCATTGAAAATACTATGTACCTTTGTGATATATGGGAGTAATTTCAGGTAAGTTAATTTTTTCACAACAGGTTCACATTAAATGAAGATAAGTACTAACATGCTAGGCCAAATGTAATATAGATAACTAGTGTTTACAATACATACTTGACACAAAATCATAATATTTCTAAAAAGATCTTGGCATTTAAAGCAGTTGTCACCTTTTGTGATCTTTGCATATTTTGCAAAAACCACTGGTAGTGGAGTCGCTGTGGCATAGGAGAGTTACTGTCCCTCACAGATACCCCCATCTTCAACTCCTGGCGCTTCATTCGCCAAGAGTACATGTCAATGCTGTAAAACACTGAGGCCTATGGATGAAAGTCACCATATAAATGGTTTTATGCCTTATTCCTATAGCTGTGAGAACTGACAAAAGTTGGCACCACCTTTTATCAACTTGAGGGAGAAGGAGGAATTTACAGACCCACTTAGATACATAACAAAATTACCATTATAAGCCAAGCTTCATTGCCTACCTGTGCCTCTTCCTCTTCAGTGAAATCATTTTTTATATTGAAGGTCTTTCGAATTTCTTCTGGTGTTTTGCCTTTGATCATGTTTGCAACAGTTTTGCAGGTGACATCTAGCAAACCTTTGATATCCAGGTAGTTGGCAGCCTGAAAAAAAAAAAAACACAAGTTTGTTTGGTGGGGAAGGGGCCTTTGTACCTGAATAAGCTTATACAGTTTATTACAAATTTACTTTGGCAGATCATTTTCTTAGCTCCCAATGTGAATGCAAACTGGATATCTTAAAATTACTCCATTATCTACTCAACCCCACTCAATCAACACTCTTGCATCTAGTTTAATACTCTAGAATAGATCCTGTATATTAGCAGTCTGGAATAGTCACATAAGCAACTATAGATCCTGGGGTTCCATTTAGATGTAAATATTTACTCCATCTATATACGGAAATAAAACAAACTACCCAAGCACAACACATTCAAACTCATGAAAACAAGATCACTCACAAGTATGAGTTCAAAGAGTGTTCCTTGGTCTACTTTGAGAAACTCTTGGTCCCATACAGGGATATCATCTGTCCTCTTCTCTTTGTTCTCATCATCCTCTGGTGGAGGTGGATCATCTTTGTGATGTGTGCACCACTGGATCACCTTTATAAATGAAACAATTAAAAAGAAAAAAAAACATCACTGAAGTTAGGAACAGATTACACAACATATTTAAAAGAATCATTCACCATAAAAAAAAAAAAAGGTGTTGGAGGATATGTAAAAAACGCGCGCACAAAAATATATATATATATATATATATATATATATATATATATTTTTTTATATATTTTTTTTTTTTCTTCAAGAAAATAATATTTACTGCCATGACAACTGCAACAAACAGGTTGGTCATAATGATAAATTCACATGCAGCAAGTAGGGGAACTGATGGATCTTCCAACACTACATGTGTGTCATTTCATGATTCCCTTTTATTCCAGAAGTTTGGTCCTTAAGGGGTTAAAGGCTAAGAGATTAGACAGTTTAAATTTAGTTTTATCTACCCTTACATCTGATTTATTTGATCCTTTGAAGGAAATTTCTCTTCACCGCTAAAGACAGTTTTAAGTTGCAATAATTTCTGCTAAATGCATTGGAGAAGTTCATTGTTTGGGAGCAAACTATACATATCTTGTTTTACTTTTAAACAAAGTTGTCTGAAGATTTCTCCATTCATTTTGATCTAAAGTGACCAAAACTTCTCATTTGCAACAGGAAATTATTTTGCAAACTTTATGCCAGAACTCAAACAATTTCTACACAGATTGGATGTAAAACGCCAATTACGGTTTTATCTTGAACGAACAGCCTCAGATCTACACATCTTTTTGTCCTTAAGCAACCTCAAAAGCTACTTTGGTAAAATGGATAGAATCAAATATTTAAAGCCTATTAGTCTTGGGTAATCTCCTCCTCTTATTAGATTTCACATACTAGATCAATCTCTATGTCCTTAGCAAGCTTCAACAAATTTGTAAAGCAGCAACAATGTCTTCAATTTATACTTTTTAGACAGTTATAAATTTTTACTTAATAAGATGTTTTGTTTGTGCATACAGTTCTTCAGACAGTTATTAAGTAACCCACCACCCCCACAAGCAGTTTAACAAGTTCTTGCTGTAGTACTACCGCAACATACATTGAAAAACCAAAGTTTTTACTCACTTTAAATTCTATTTCTATAGGACTAAAGGCAGAACAGGTCTCCTTTCCTAAATATCGTTTTGCAGTATGAATAACTTAGTTTTTACTGTGGGTTCTCTGGAGTATACTTTTATTAATCCCCCGAGAGGTCACGTTTTTGAGTGGATCTAACCTTTTATTGATAAAGAAATGCTGGAAAAGCAAGGAAAATCTCAGCTGTAGTATAGCTGCTAATCCTATGGAAAACTGAATTTACAGGGAGTACAAATTCAGATGTTTGTCACATAGAATACTTTTTCAGTTTAAGCAATTTCGCAAAAATGTTCTTACACTCTGCACGCAATTAGCATATACTCCCTAAAGCAGGGCTGTCCAACCTGCGACCCCCAGATGTTGCTGAACTACAACTCCCATAATTCACTGGCCGATTCATTGCAAGAATCATGGGAGTTGTAATTCAGCAACATCTGGAGGGTGCAGGTTGGACAGCCCTGCCCTAAAGCCAAGTACTTCTTACTTTTTTAAGTATTGCTGCATTCACATTTGGAAGGGGCACAGGATCATCATCACCTTCATCATCCATGCCTAGATCTAAAGACAATGCATAATTCAAGTTAGAAGAATTAAACATAAAGCACACTAAAAGTACGCATGGTTTTCCCAATTTGGTTATAGGGGAAATGTCACTCATCTGCAATTTATTTGTGATAAAACACTGAAATATCACCTAAAACAAACTTTCATGAGATGTCCATTGAAGGCTTTTATTAAATATTTTGCAAATCACATCATTTCATAAAATCAAAGCCAAGTTAAACACTGCAAATGAGCATGAAAATCAGAAAGCTTGCTTCAATTTTGCTTGTATCTGCAGAGGACAGAGTTAATTATTGATAGGGAGCTAAATTTGAGACAACTGATTGGAGGATAAAGAGGTGTGGATCCCCACATTTTATTTATTACCCCTCACAAATACATTTGTTAAAATATAACATTACATAAATAGAATATTAGAAATCATTGTGATTGATCCCCATTAAAGAATAAAGTAAAATCATTCAAACTGTGAATGCCACTTTTGTGAAGTAACTAATGGTAAAATTGGAGAGAAGAAGAGAAAACATTTAAAGGCTATAAAATGTGGCTAAAATACTATTTGGCGCATTGCAGAAAAAGTTAGATTTAAAGCAATCAAGGTATACAGAGGGAAGTAAAAGTAGAATTGAATTACACGATTCTTAAATAAAACCCCTTAAAATCTGAAATCCAGCGCTGGAACACAAAATTACAAATGTTTTACTTTATCCTGTTTTTAAGCAAACATATTTTACATTGACTTCAACTCACACGACTGAATAGGAAACACATGGAAAAGACACCTTATTGGTTCCATGGTGTGTCAGAACACCTGGCTATCACATCAGTTTTATTCTCGCATGGACTGCCCAACTACACTCTAATGAATGCTGCCCCTCACATACCTTTCCTGTCGTTCCTTACACTGGCTTCTATAGGAGGTCAATACAAAATACTAAACTTTACTAATAAAGCTCTAAACAATGCCCCTGTTATATTTCTTCACCGATTCATAGATATGTCCTTTCTCGGTCTCTCCACTCTGCAGGTGACCTACTCCTGTCTGCTGCTTGCACAATAGCATAACTTACATGTGCAGGACTTTTCACAGGTGGCTCCTTTCCTTTGGTACAGACTCTCCATCAGACTTTCCCCTAGTCTTCAATTGTTTAAGTAGTCCCTCAAAGCCCATCTGTTTAGAAAAGTTTGAATAACTTCCCAGAATAACTTCTACAGGTGATACTCGAAAAATTTGAATATTGTGCAAGAGTTCATTTATTTCAGTAATGTAACGTAAAATGGGAAACTAATATATATGAGATAGACGCATTACATGCAAAGCAATATACACCCTGTTCCAAATTATTATGCAAATTCCATTTAAGTGTCACAAAGATTAAATATTTTGTTTTTCAGTTTAACTCATGGATGGCATTGTGTATCAGGGCTCTTTTGATCACTGAAACCAATCTCAGACACCTGTGATAGTTAGATTGCCAGGTGAGCCCAATTTAAGGAAAAACTACTAAAAGGAGGGTGTTCCACATTATTAAGCAGGGCACCATCTACATGCAATATGGGGAAGAAAAAGGATCTCTCTGCTGCCGAAAAGAGTGAAATAGTTCAATGCCTTGGACGAGGTATGAAAACATGAGTTATTTTACGAAAACTTAAGCGTGATCATCGCACTATTAAGAGATTTGTAGCGGATTCAGAGCACAGATAAAGGCACATTGAGAAAGATTTCTGCCAGATCCATGCATCGGATCAAGAGAGCAGCTGCTAAAATACCATTACATAGCAGCAAACAGATATTTGATGCTGGTGCCTCTGGAGTCCCACGGACATCAAGGTGTAGAGTCCTCAAGAATCTTGCAACTGTGCATAAACCTTCTATTCGGCCACCACTAACCAATGCTCATGAGCAGAAACGGCTGCACTGAGCAGAAAAATACATGAAGACTAATTTTCAAACAGTCCTGTGCAAACCTGGATGGTCCAGATGGATGGTTGGTGGACGGCAACCCTGTTCCAACAAGGCTGCGACGTCAGCAAGGCGGTGGTGGAGTCATGTTTTGGGCCAGAATCATGGGAAGAGAGCTGGTCGGCCCCTTTAGTGGTGTAAAGATGACCTCTGCAAAGTATGTGGAGTTTCTGACTGACCACTTTCTTCCCTGGTACAGAAGGAAGAACTATGCTTTCTGTGATAAAATCATCTTCATGCATGACAATGCACCATCTCATGCTGCAAAGAATACCTCTGCATCAATGGCTGCTATGGGGATAAAAGGAGAGAAAGTCATGGTGTGGCCTCCATCCTCCCCTGACCTCAATCCTATGGAGAACCTTTGGAGCATCCTCAAGCAAAAGATCTATGAGGGTGGGAGGCAGTTTACATCCAAACAGCAGCTCTGGGAGGCTATTCTGACATCTTGCAAACAAATTCGAGCAGAAACTGACCAAAAACTAACAAGTTCGATGGATGCAAGACTTGTGAAACTGCTATCAAATTAGGGGTCTTATGTTAAACTGTAACGTGACCTGTTAAAATGTTTAAAAAGTTAAAATGTTGTTATAAGTTTGATTGCAATAGCTTTTGATTTCAGTAAATATGCTGCAAACACAACAAATTACAATTTTCAGTTCTTTACAACCTATAAAGTGTTTTGAAACTTACTGTGCGTAAGAATTTGGAATAGTGCATTGTAAGTTTATGTTTAAAAAAATACTGTTATCATTAGGAGGTTTGTTCAATAAAATTTGAATTGTACTCTTAATAGTTGATAACATGAGAATTATGCTGACTGTTATTTACATCAATTATTTAGGTAAATGAGAAAAATATCATTTGCATAATAATTTGGAACAGGGTGTAGTTCAAGCCATGATTTATCATAACTGCGATGATTATGGCTTACAGCTCATGAAAACCCCAAATCCACAATCTCAGTAAGTTAGAATATTACATGTAATCAAAACAACATATGGACTCAGTACTTGGTTTGGGCCCCTTTTGCAGCAATTACTGCCTCAATGCAGCATGGCATGGAAGCTATCAACCTGTGGCACTGCTGAGGTGTTATGGAAGACCAGGATGCTAGAATAGCAGCCTTCAGCTCGTCTGCATTGTTCGGTCGCATGTCTCATCTTTCTCTTGGCAATGCCCCATAGATTCTCTATGGGGTTCAGGTCAGGTGAGTTTGCTGGCCAATCAAGCACAGTAAACCCACGGTCATTGAACCAGGCTTTGGTGCTTTTGGCCAGGGGTGGCAGGTGCTAAGTCCTGCTGGAAAATGAAGTCAGCATCCTCATAAAGCTCGTCTGCAGAAGGAAGCATGAAGTGCTCCAAAATCTCCTGGTAGACGGATGCGTTGACCTTGGACTTAATGAAGCACCGTGGACCAGCACCAGCAGATGACATGGCTCCCCAAATCAACACAGACTGTGGAAACTTCACACTGGACTTCAAGCATCTTGCAGTGTGTGCCTCTCCATTCTTCCTCCACACTCTGGGTCCTTGGTTTCCAAATGAGATGCAAAAGTTGCTCTCATCAGAAAAGAGGACTTTGGACCACTGAGCAACAGACCAGATCTGTTTTACTTTAATCCAGATCTGATGATGTTTGTTGTTCAGGAGCGGCTTGACAAGAGGAATACGACATCTGTAGGCCATGTCCAGGATCCGTCTGTGTGTGGTGGCTCTTGATGCACTGACTCCAGCCTCAGCTCACTCCTTGTGAAAGTCCCCAACACTATTGAATGGCCTTTTCCTGAAAATCCTCTCCAGGCTGTGGTCATCCCTGCTGCTTGTGCACCTTTTTCTTCCACATAACTTTCTATTACTGTGCTTTGATGCAGCACTTGGGAACAGCCAACTTCCCTCACAATTACCTTTTAAGGCTTTCCCTCCTTGTGGAGGGTGTCAGGTCAGCAGTCTTCCCCATGATTGGGATTCCTACTGAAACAGTCAAACCAATTAAAGGCTCAGAAACCCTTTGCAGGTGTTATGGCTTACTTAGCTGATTAGAGTGGGACAATGTGAGAATAGAATATTGCACCTTTTCACAAAATTCTAATTTACTGAGATTGTGGATTTAGGGTTTTCATGAGCTGTAAGCCATTATCGCACTTATGACAAATCACGGCTTGAACTATCTTGCTTTGCATGTAATGCGTCTATCTTATATATTAGTTTCCCCTTTTACGTTGCATTACTCAAATAAATGAACTTTCGCACGATATTCAAATTTTCTATATATGTATTTCACATATCGGCCTCTTGCACTCTCCTACAGAGCCAAAATCCACACTCGCCTCCAGTAACTTTCCCACCTTGTTTGGTTGATGTCCCCCTTGCTGCCCTATTGGTTTTTTTTTTTTTTTACACCCTGCCTCCTCTAGACTGTAAACTCACCTGAGCAGGGTCCTCATCAACCTATTGTTAATTTAACATTTTGTAGTGGTTTAGTTTGTTAAATTTCCCTCTTTCATAATATTGTAAAGTGCTGCGAAATAAGTTGTAGCTATACAGATGCCAATAATAAGTCAGCTCTGAGTTAATGTAATCCACTTACAATAAGAAGTTGTGGTTTTGTTTCTGGTTATTTGGCTATATAGTTTACTTATCTTTATTCTATCAAACATTTTTTGCATTAAATTCTATTTAGAATAGAACTATACATAGGACACAGGTATTTAGACGGGAAGAAAAGAATTTAACAGTTTGAACAATAAGGATGTGGAATTCTATGCCAGAAGATGTGCTTTTATCAGAGTCTGTACGGGTGTTTAAACAGAAATGGGATTAATACTTCCAAAAACATTATTCAGGGATATAATTCTAAATATATGAGGTAGTAGCTACTTGAAATATCCTACTGCCATTTTGAGGTCAAGAAGGAATTATTTTCCTTGCTTGCTGCAAAATTGCAAACACTTCATCTTGGGTTTTTGCCTTATTTTGGATGAACTGCAAAAATAGAGGTAAGAAAGGCTCTGAACTTGGGCATCTCTTTTCAGCTATGTAACTATTCTGCATGAAATTATCTTTAGTGATATGTAATTTTATGGCATTCTAAAGTAAAAAAATAATTTCTAAATGTTTTTCAAAACTTTGGCCTCTAGTAAATAGAATAAAAATAAATCATAAATCTTAGTATTTTACATTCCTGCTAGAATATACTACAAGTCTGAGAGGAGTTCTTGTATGTCACTAAAAAAAAAAAAAGTAAAAGCACACATCTAAGTAGATGCAAATACGGAGGCATAGCAAGAGTAGAAACACACATGCTAAAACCTGTACAATACCCTGAACAGGCCTGACACTATTGGGCCACAATTGTATTGCAACTGGGCTCATGAAGTGGTCCTGAAAACTAAAAAAAAAAAAAAAAATTTAAAGGTATCTTCCACCCTCTGCTTCTACATCCAATAAAAATACTATTTAATATGTCTTCGATTATCACCTTCTAACATAGTTTTGATTGTTACAGACTGCTTTGCAATTTCAACATCAACTTCAAAGATTTCGCCATCAGAGCTCTGCAATTTTATTGAAGGCATCTGTAAAATAAAATAAAATGCATCAGAAGAATATTGGATTATGTATTGACATTAAAGCAATCATTACAGGAAATGATGAACCTAACAGCCGAGAATTAGTGCAGGGATCACTTATGTTGGATCTAGGAATACTGCATCTTGAATACTAGCCAAGTACGACGAGACTATAGCTTTCTGCAAGCTACACTCCCAGCTGCTGGTCAACAGTACTGCAGTTTATAGTTGAAGGGGTGTGTTCTTACAGCACATTCTGCGTTCATAATGTTAAAATTCTAGCAACTAGAATACAGCTGGCTATATGTCAATTAACTAAGAGTACATATTAAGTTAATGAATTCATTTAAGATAAGTATTTTATTTTCCATTATTACTTTTGACAAGGAATGGCTATGCATTGCCAATACAGGACCGCACTCACTGGTTTAGGGAGCTTAACTGCTGCATCGCACTGCTTACCTGCCAGAGAATGCAGGAATAAGGGAATGTGGTTGTATGATGTGATCCAAGTAAACTATTACTGCCATTTATATAGCACCAGTATATTCCACAGCAGATTATAGTATTGGGGTATCTCACAACAAGTAATTGATATACAGAGTTAATAGATGAAGAAGGTCTTGCTCAAACAAGCTCACAACAGCTCTAAAAATGGTTTGACAAACTACACTTGGATGGCACCAAGGCACTCCAGGTACAATAACCAGTAAAGCACTACACCCTAAGTCGCCCCACTGTTATAAGGAGTCAACAATATTTTAGAACAAGCAGGGAGTGGTGCCTGACAGACCCAAGATAAAAAGCCAAACCATTGAAAAACTGACTCTTACAATTGGGGCGGGCACATTTTGTACCATAACCACTACAATGTGTTATAGTGGTTATGGTGCTTGCAGTGTTCATTTAAGTTCATTGCTATGGTGGAAACCAAGACAGTTCACTAAACCGTTTGTTATTAGCAAAATAACCACTACAGCTTAGGGATTATGTTGTTTAAAATGTCCCTTTAAATTACAGACGTAGGAAAATATAAATGATCAGTCTATGTGCATGACAGAGGCAGTGCGGTATGTAAAAGCACAACTCAGAGACAACACCCTCTGATGCAAGACGTAACAAATGTAAAAAGTGGTACTGTGTACCTTAGCCATCAGATTACATAGTTAATACTATTGTACACTGAATATGATATTTGCAATTCACACACTGAAATAGCTGAAAAAGAATAGAAATCGCAAAATTGATTAACATGTCATGGATTTGAAATGTGCCTTTGTATGCCTATAAATAAGGCTAGTAAGCAGTCTCATGTAAATGAAACTCACAATGTTAAGAAAGGGTAAAGTTCAGAGGCTAGCCTTTGTTCTACAAAAAAAAATAGTAATATATATATACTATGTGCCAAGCCAATTTTTCTAAAACACAAGCCCAATGCAGTGTGTGTGTGTGCGTCTCTTACAATGTTAGTTTCATGCAGTGTGTGTCTGTATTATAACGTTAGTTTCATGCAGTGTTTGTTTGTATTATAATGTGAGTGTCATGCAGTGTTTTTTATATTGCTAGTGTCATTAAGTGTGCTTTTATTATGTTAGTGTCATGCAGCGTGTCTAATTTTTTTAATAATGTTAGTGTCATGCAGGTTTTTTTTTATATTGTTAGTGTCATCAAATGTGTGTGTCTCTATTATAATGTCAGTGTCAATAAGTGTATTATAATTGCATACCAGGCAGTACAGTAATCACTACCTTACACCTGGTGACCTGTGAATGCCACCCTGCGCCCCCAGACAGGGCCTCTATCGAGTGAGCTGAACTAGTTACACACGGTGTATTTCTGCGACACACACTATATGAAGGATCTATAAAGCTTGGACTCGGCGGCCTGGGCCCTATGGCCTCATTCGCTATAAAGCCGTGTAATCCTTGGCCTAGCACCGAGCACGCGGTCATGTGGGTATTGGCTCGGGGATACACTATATCTACCATGAAGCGCACCGTGCCGAGATCGGACTCACCGTGCCGAACAGCAAACGCAAACACCTCACACACGGAAAGCTCGAGCACCGAGAGATCAACCGGCCAACTGGCTCCTCCCACCACGGCGCAGCGTCACCTCCAGCGGCGAAATGGAGTTTATCGCAGAGTGTAAACGTCACGACACACTGCCCAATCGGGATGTGGACGACGGTTGACAGCATCGGTTATCGCCGAGGTGCTAATCCTATTAGATGCCTGAATGGATTGACGTCACGCTTACAGCAACCAATGAGGGTCGAGAGAGCTAGACGGACACAGCGCGTGCTTAGTAATGGTTCTCGCCTAGCAACAAGGGGCGGGAATGAGAACATGACCTGGGCTCATAACTGAATGTGCCCTGTCATTATGACATCTAAAGGCACGCGAAGTGTTCAAACAGCAAGCAAATTTATTGGATCTTTTTCTGCTACTACATTATTTTGGATTTGCTGGTCTTATTTTAGTTGCACTCGGCGTTCATTTGGAATAATGTGCAGCCCCCTTGGTTTTCTTTAATAGCACAGTAAGGATTGAGGCAATTTGACATAAAGCCCACCAGGTGGAGATAAAGGATGGATAGAGAAGCAATAGCGGATAGCTGCATGAGTCAAATAAGTTAGAAACACGTGCATTAAATGCTGTATTATTACAATGTGACAATTTTTTGTCTTGATAGAGAAAATGGTAACACTATAAATCAGGGGTCATCAAACTCCGGTGTACTATCAAATTTCCCTACCCCGTTAGAAAACCCTACCCGCGTCACTTCCGGTGACGAAGCCGCACCGGAAGTGACGTTGGGATGGGGGGGTTCGCTGCTGCGCAGGCGCACACAACCGAGGTAGGGATTTTTCACTTCGAGGAGAGAACCTAAAGGCATAGTGCGCACGCGCGGCACAGTACTCCCGTCGGAGGTACAGCGCGCGTGCGCACTTGGGGACATGGAGCGCTTCACACACACACACACCGCGCATGCGCAGTATAGGGGTAGGGAAATCTGATGGCCATTATTGGGATGGGGGTCTGCGCTGTATAGGGGGGGCTGTCTGCGCAGTATATGGAGGGGCTGCGCAGTATATTGTGGGGTCTGTGAAGTATATTAGGGTGGCCTGTGTGTTAAATGTGGGGGGCAGTGTGTTAGATGGAGGGGCTGTTTGTTACATGTGGGGGGGCAGTGTGTTATATTTGGGGGCTGTGCGTTAGATGGTGAGCTGTACAGTACGTGGTCTGTGTGTTAGATGTGTACAACCCTAGTTTCACAGAAAAATATTTATTTCCTAGATATCATATGCCATGGCATGCTTTTTGCTATGAAACCGCAGCCATCTAGTCACTCGCCAGAGAAGGATGAGAAACTGCACCCCAGCGAGAGGGACAGCCCCACATCTGCAACCAAATCCGTCGGTCACCGAATTCAGTAATCTCCGTCTCTTTGTGCATTGTGTATGTATGGTACTCCCAATTCTTATATTTAATCCGGTGTGTCTCCCACAATCTTTGTGTCTGTCTGCTGTATGTATGTGGCACGCAAGTCTGCATGCACTGTGTCTGTTATGCCAGTTACTCTAACCAGTTTATTTCTTTTTGTGTGTGTCACAGCTCTGACGAGCATGTTCTCCTATGGGACACAAAGTACATGAAGAGGAATGAAGAAGCCCATGTTTGATGCTCGTCTCCAGGGTGGAGTATTTAATTTATAACTAATGAAGTGGCATCTGACACATGACAAGCTGCTCCTATTTGCACAGCAACTTCAACATTGTGTACTGTGATCACGGCATAGTTCAGAGGTAGGTAACCTTGGGCAGTCCAGATGCTGTGAATTACATCTCCCATAATGCTGGCAAACCATTATGGGAGGTGTAGTGCAAAACATCTGGAATACCGAATGCGGATGAATGCAAAGTATGGTGTGTGTGAATGGTCAGTAACAAGGGTTGAAGCCTTGACGTGCCGTTACTGCTCACATGTGTATTCATGTGCCAATTCAACCAATGTGAGTCACTGTAATACTTATAAGGTAACCAAAAGTACTGTGATTGTGGAGAATGAAACGCCTGTATCACCTAAACACTGCTCACACTGTGACCGTATCTCCTAAACACTGCTTACATTGTGACCGTATTTCCTAAACACTGCTTACACTGTGACCGTATCTCCTAAACACTGCTCACACTGTGACCGTATCTCCTAAACACTGCTCACACTGTGACCGTATCTCCTATACACTGCTGACACTGTGACCGTATCTCCTGTACACTGCTTACACTGTGACCGTATCTCCTAAACACTGCTCACACTGTGACCGTATCTCCTAAACACTGCTCACACTGTGACCGTATCTCCTATACACTGCTGACACTGTGACCGTATCTCCTATACACTGCTGACACTGTGACCGTATCTCCTATACACTGCTTACACTGTGACCGTATCTCCTAAACACTGCTCACACTGTGACCGTATCTCCTAAACACTGCTCACACTGTGACCGTATCTCCTAAACACTGCTGACACTGTGACCGTATCTCCTATACACTGTGACCGTATCACCTAAACACTGCTTACACTGTGACCGTATTTCCTAAACACTGCTTACACTGTGACCGTATTGTCAGGGTATTTATATCGGCAGACATCTTGTGCTATGATAGAAATTAAAAGTGTATATTCTGAGTCACTCTAAACAGACCAGACTCCATTTTGTTATTTTCAAGTTAACAAAAAGACACAAGATTTCTATCTGTAAAACTAACCACTTTCCCAGAGCTAAAGGAATGCATAGTATATACAAACCAAGTGATAAGGAGAACGGGGGTTGGACAGACTGTCTAAAATCTTAATGGAATAGATGCATATCTAAACACAGACATTTGTGGCAGAGGAGATTAAATAATAAAATTTTACTTTCTATATGTACAAGGTCCCATTGTAAGTTACGGGTCAAAACTCAGAATTTGCTAGACACATAGTCTGGACAAAACTTAAAGAAACTGTTTGATCTGACAGGAAATGTAAGTTATGGTCACGATATAGATAAAGCCAAAATGACGTCAAAATAGCCACCAGGAAAAGTTAACTCTTTCCTGGATAGGTATGTTTAGTGGGACAAGACTGCCCTCTATAGATCAAATAACTAAATTGCGATCTGGAAGATAACCACACCCCCAGTGTTGCTATTGGTTTACCAACTAGTGAATTTTCCCTTTAAAAAGTTAAGACAAAGAGGGGGAAGAGGTAGACGGAGGAATAGAAGGGTATGCAAAGAAAGCAAAGAAGTGAGCAGTGGGGAGCAATGACACTCTAGGACACTCAGAAATTCCAACACACCTCCATGCAGAGAGACATCCAAATAAGTTCCTGAGACTATCTACCAATCGGATGAAATATCTACTCAACTGGTAATTATACTGGTTTCATTTAATTAATTAAATTAATTAAAATTTACTAACAGCATGATATATGACTGGATAAATCACGGTCAGATTTCCATATTTAAGAAATCTTAGTTAACTAAAGAATATATAGTTATAAACATTCCATTCTGCAGGTGGAATTAAGAATAATTATATATTGATGTGATATTATCACGTGTTAGCATACCGCTGTTTTTATCCAGGTGTATTGATTTGTTCTAATATAAGATAAGATATCTTTTTAGACAAATTAAATTCTGCTTTTGTAAAAATTATGGTAGATTCTCTTATTGGATGGTTCCAGGAAATGACTAATGAACTGGTTTAAATGTTATTTTATTTAAAATTACATAAGAATAGATCTTAATTACCTAGGAGGTCTAGCCAGCATTTAAAGGGTTATTCTAACTGTTAGCCAGGGTTTTATGGCCCTTCGCTGTGAAAAGCTTCACTTTCAGTCTGTGAAAGATAGTCATAAATCGTGTAAGTCTTGACAGAAAATGCTGTTTAGCCATTGAAACGTGTATACCCATTCCATTGTATTGCATACCATTTTATACTAGATATTCATTGATTATTGTCACGCATGTTACATATTATTATTATTAATTAATTATTATAAATAAATCTATTTTTATAACATTGTGATTTATTTATATGAAATACTTTCCACTTAACACGATAACGATCTTTGGGATCTGAGAATTGAATTAGTGGGCAATTCTCACTGTTTACTATTATTATCCCATAAATATCCCCACAGTATCTCCTAAACAGTGCTTACACTGTGACCGTATCACCTAAACACTGCTTACACTGTAAGCACAGACATGCTTTTATTCAAAATTGAAAGCGCTCGATTATTCTTTCTATTCTACACCTCCAATCTTCAACATTGAAATTGTCATTTCTAATAATATAAAATAAGTAATATGCTTTCTGGTTACGATTGTCAGGAAACTGACAGGGATCCAATACGCAGAGTGCGCACAGAAGGAGGTACGTATACCGGACCTTAGAATGGCCGGACTAACGTAAGGACAAAGCAAGAATAGTCAAAAGGTAAGCCGAGGTCAAGGGAGCCGGAGGACAGGTAAGCGAGATACAAGCCGAGTCAAAGGAGAGGAGAGGACAACAGGACAAAAGACAAGCAAGGGTCAAAACCGGAAACACTAGCTAAAGAACGCGCTGAGTGACTAGCAAGCTAGAACCACGACAGGGCAATGAGCAGTAGTAAAGGTTTCCTTTAAATACCCTGTTACCTAAATAGAGACCACGCCCCCAAAAGGTCCGGAATAGCGGTTCCCGGCACTTTATGCAAATGCCGACGTCATGACGTCGACGCTAGCCGTCGCGTCATAAAAGGGGGAGGAGCTAGCGCGGCCGGCGCGAAAACGGCCGAAATATGCCGAAATGCTAGGGGAAGGGAGCCCCTAAGCAGAGAGGATGTCCTCCCTGGATACATCACCAACAGGTACCCTGACAGTACCCCCCCTTCTAGAAACGCCCACCGGGCGGATGGGACCTGGCTTAGAAGGAAAACGAACGTGGAAGGCCCGTAGAAGACGAGGAGCATGCACGTCTATACCAGGAACCCAAGACCTCTCTTCTGGACCATAACCTTTCCAGTCTATGAGGTATTGCAGCTTCCCCCTAGAAATACGAGAATCAAGGATGGACTTGATGATATATTCCTCCTGACCATCCACACGGACCGAGGATGGAGGAGCAGAGCGGGAGGAAAATCTGTTACAAACAAGAGGTTTCAATAACGACACATGAAAAGAGTTAGGGATGCGTAGAGTAGGAGGTAGATCCAGCAAATAAGAAACCGGGTTGATCCTCCTCAGTACCCTGTAAGGACCAATGTAACGAGGAGCAAACTTCAAGGAAGGAACTTTCAGGCGAATGTGTCTGGTACACAACCAGACCCTATCCCCCGGAGAAAAAATAGGAGCAGGACGTCTACGCCTATCAGCATGTGACTTAAACACCGCGGAACTACGTTCAAGAATTTGTCGAGTCTGATCCCACAACTTTCTCAGGTTGGCTATATGAATATCAACCGACGGTATACCCTGGGAAGGAGACACCGACGGAAGAACAGTAGGGTTAAAGCCATAGTTCAAGAAAAAGGGGCTATTATGAGTGGAACCACAAACAAGGTTGTTGTGAGCAAACTCCGCCCAAGGAATCAGACCGACCCAGTCATCCTGGTGTTCAGAAACAAAACAACGTAGATATTGCTCAATTTTTTGGTTAGTGCGTTCGGCTGCTCCGTTAGATTGAGGATGATAGGCCGAAGAAAAATTCAGTTTGATGCCCAACTGTGAACAGAAGGATCTCCAAAAACGGGAAATAAATTGGGAACCCCTGTCTGACACAATCTCATTGGGAATACCATGTAAACGGAAAATTTCTCTAGCAAATATCACGGCCAGTTCGGGGGAGGACGGAAGTTTAGGCAAGGGAACGAAATGAGCCATTTTAGTAAACCTGTCAAGGACCGTGAGGATAACTGTATGCCTATTGGAAGCTGGTAGATCAACAATAAAATCCATAGCCAAGCAAGCCCAAGGTTTGTTGGGAACGACTAAGGGCTGCAATAAACCACAAGGGAGATCCCGCGGAAGTTTATTCCTGACACAAACATTGCAAGCCTTGACAAAGTCTTCCACATCCCTACGTAAACCGGGCCACCAGAAGTCCTTTGAGATCAGGCAGTAAGTTTTGTGGATGCCGGGGTGACCAGCGATCTTGCTATCGTGGAAACAGCGAATAATGTCCACTTGGAATTTGGGAGACACGAACAAGCGGCCCACAGGAGTACGTTCGGGAGCAAGAGATTGTTCGTTCTGAATATCAGCGAGCAATGGAGAGTGTATTTTGACATTGGTGTTGGCGATAATATTGACTTCAGGAATAATAGGGAACAAAGTATCCTCTGTAGAGGTGGTAGGTTCGTGCTGACGTGACAAAGCGTCTGCCTTAGTGTTCTTAGAACCAGGCCTGTAAGTAAGCACATAATTAAAGTGTGTAAGGAACATAGACCAACGTGCCTGCCTGGCAGATAATCTTTTGGCCTCCCCCATATACGATAAATTTTTGTGGTCAGTCAAGATAGTAACTGGGAGGACGGTGCCCTCTAACAAATGTCTCCATTCCTTTAATGCCATAATGATAGCTAAAAGTTCTCTATCACCAATGTCATATCTCCTTTCAGTGTGTGACAGTTTCTTGGAAAAAAAACCGCAAGGGTGCAGCGGCTTATCTAAACTTTGTCTTTGGGATAACACTGCGCCTATCCCTGTTTCAGACGCATCAACTTCAAGTAAAAAGGGTAGAGAGGTATCAGGATGAACTAATACAGGTGCTGAGGCAAAAGACTGTTTGAGCGTTTCGAAAGCAGATAAAGCCTCAGTAGACCAGGTTTTGGTATCGGCTCCTTGTTTGGTCATATTAGTGATAGGAGCGATAACAGAGGAGTACCCTTTAATAAAACGTCTGTAATAATTAGAAAATCCAAGAAATCTTTGTATGGCTTTGAGTCCCTTAGGTAAAGGCCAATCTAAAATCGATTTTAGTTTGGTCGGGTCCATCATAAACCCGTCTTTGGAAATTACGTAACCTAAGAAAGTTACCTGAGACTGGTCAAAGCTACATTTCTCCAATTTACAATACAATCCATGTTGTAAAAGTTTCTGTAATACCTTTCTGACTTGTCTATGATGTGAATTAATGTCTCTAGAATGGATTAGTATATCATCCAAATATACAATTACACATTCATGTTGGAATTCTCTAAGAACTTCATTGATCAAGTCTTGGAAGACGGCCGGGGCGTTACAAAGCCCAAACGGCATTACGGTATACTCATAATGCCCGTAACGGGTATTAAATGCTGTCATCCATTCATCTCCTTGTTTAATTCGCACTAAGTTATATGCTCCCCTTAAGTCAAGTTTAGTAAAAATACTCGACCCCTTTAGTCTGTCAAAGAGTTCAGTAATCAAAGGAATAGGGTAAGCATTTCTGATAGTAATTTTGTTCAATCCCCGATAGTCTATACAAGGACGTAAGGTACCGTCTTTCTTTTCTACAAAAAAGAAACCCGCCCCCGCCGGAGAAGAAGACTTTCTAATAAATCCCTTGTCTAAATTCTCCTTGATATATTCCTCTAAAACTAAATTTTCCTTGGTGGATAGAGGGTATACCGTACCCCTGGGAGGCATAGTACCAGGGAAAAGTTTAATAGAACAGTCATAAGACCGGTGGGGAGGTAAAGTATCCGCCTTACCCTTGTCAAATACAGATTTGAGGTCTAGATATTGTAATGGTATCTGAACGTCTGTGGATTGAGAAGTGTTAGCATAAGAGTTCACGGGGCAAACAGAAGTAACTCTCTGCAGACATTCTTTCCTACAACCCATACCCCAAGAAACGATTTCTCCACCCTCCCAGTCAATCTGAGGGTTGTGTCTCTTGAGCCAAGAATATCCTAGAACCACTGGGACTGCCGGGGAGGAAATTAACAGAAGGGAAATCAACTCTTCGTGGAAAATACCAACAGTAAGCTTAACGGGTTCGGTCTCATGGAATATTACTGGTTCAGATAAAGGTCTACCATCTATGGCCTCAACGGCCAAGGGTGTATCTCTCAATTGGAATGGGATACAATGCATATTAGCGAAAGTTTGGTCTATAAAGCTTTCTGCTGCTCCAGAATCTAATAATGCCATCGTAGTAATAAACCCCTTTTCCCAAGCTAGAGAGACAGGAATCAGAAGCCTATGGTCTTTTTTATTATGCATAGAGGACAGTAATGAAACACCCAAGGCCCGTCCTCTAAGGGAACTTAGGTGCGAGCGTTTCCCGGACGATTAGGGCAACTGAGACGTAGGTGACCTCTCAGCCCGCAGTATAAACAGAGACCCTCCCTTCTTCTGTACTGTCTCTCAGCCTCAGATAAGCGAGTATTACCTATCTGCATAGGTTCTGGTGGAGTAGGATTATAGGAGTCAGGGTTCTGAAATGAGGGAGCGAGTCTTACAGGAAGTCTAGTAACTCTTTCCCGAGTGTTCTGCCTCTGTCTCATGCGTTCATCTATTCTGGAAATGAAGGATACTAAATCCTCTAAATTTTCCGGAAGTTCTCTTGTGGCAATTTCATCTAGAATTTCATCAGACAACCCATTCAAGAAAACATCCATAAAAGCTTGTTCGTTCCATTTCACTTCTGCTGCCAATGATCTAAACTCTAGAGCATATTCTACAAGGGTCCTATCTTGTTGTTTAAGGCGTAACAGGGATCTGGCCGCATTAATCTTCCTCCCTGGGGGGTCAAAGGTTCTTCTAAAAGCCGTGACAAACGCAGTGTAGTTGTAGACTAAAGGATTGTCATTCTCCCAAAGGGGATTGGCCCATCTAAGTGCTTTATCTATTAGCAGGGTTATAATAAAGCCTACCTTAGCCCTGTCAGTGGGGTAAGCCCGGGGTTGTAGTTCGAAATGTATACTTATCTGGTTTAAAAAACCACGACAAGCATCAGGCGAACCCCCATATCGTAATGGTGACGTGACATGGGAAGATGCGCCTACAGTGGCTACTTCCAAACCAGTACTTAGCGAGTGGCTAGCAGTGGAACGTATTTCTTCAGACTGGGTACTGGAGCGTGTCAACAAAGTTTGTAGCGCTAAAGCCATTTGGTCCATTCTATGGTCCATGGCCTCAAATCTGGGGTCAGGAGGACTAGCACCTGCAGGATCCATCATGGCCCTGTCGTAATGTCAGGAAACTGACAGGGATCCAATACGCAGAGTGCGCACAGAAGGAGGTACGTATACCGGACCTTAGAATGGCCGGACTAACGTAAGGACAAAGCAAGAATAGTCAAAAGGTAAGCCGAGGTCAAGGGAGCCGGAGGACAGGTAAGCGAGATACAAGCCGAGTCAAAGGAGAGGAGAGGACAACAGGACAAAAGACAAGCAAGGGTCAAAACCGGAAACACTAGCTAAAGAACGCGCTGAGTGACTAGCAAGCTAGAACCACGACAGGGCAATGAGCAGTAGTAAAGGTTTCCTTTAAATACCCTGTTACCTAAATAGAGACCACGCCCCCAAAAGGTCCGGAATAGCGGTTCCCGGCACTTTATGCAAATGCCGACGTCATGACGTCGACGCTAGCCGTCGCGTCATAAAAGGGGGAGGAGCTAGCGCGGCCGGCGCGAAAACGGCCGAAATATACCGAAATGTTAGGGGAAGGGAGCCCCTAAGCAGAGAGGATGTCCTCCCTGGATACATCACCAACAGGTACCCTGACAACGATTTGGTGGGTTGTAACTATATTTTTTATTTTTACAGTTCCAGAGGGAAGGAGCAAACCGCTTTGAGGAGTCCCTGCATAAGAGACTATTGGATACTGAAGGGCTGTACTGCAGTGTCGGCTCTAGACTTGGCAAGGCCTTAGGCGAAACTCATACATGAGACCCCACGGAGAACACCATTATTGAAGAAAAAATAGCAGTTGACTTTGTGTATAAGAAGTAGTAGATATATTGATGGTGGAGCTCAGTGGTGTATCCTGGTTTTGTGCTGCCCTAGGCAGGACAAAACTCAGACGCACCCCTCCCCCGCCACCCACACCCAACCCTTCCCCCCGCCCCGCCTTCTAAATACACACACACACACATTCACTGACAGATATGCATACATTAGCTAACAGAAACCGATACACTCACTAACAGACACAGTCAGACACACACACACTAACAGACACACTCACACTCTCTAACAGATACACTCAATTTTTTTTTTAAAACTTACCCCCCCAGCCTCCTTACCTTTGCTAATGCTGGGGGGGTTCTCTATCTCCCTGGGGTCTAGTGGGGCTGCCGGTCGGGCTGCTGGGCTGGTTGCAGGGGGGGCAGACGGGCAGCTGGCGAGGGAGCACTTCCTCTGAGTTGTCTGCTCAGCTCCCTCACACGCCGCATTGTGAGGCTGGGAGCCGGAATATGACGTCATGTTCCGGCTACCAGCCTCACTCTGTGGCGCGCGAGGGAGCTGAGCAGACAGCACAGAGGAAGTGCTCCCTCGCCATGCCGCCCGCCAGCCCAGCATGTCAGTTAGCCACAAGACTAACAAGGCATTTGCCCTGGGCATTTGGGGGCGGCAAAAAAAGCCGCCCCTAAATGCCCAGGGCAAATGCCTTGTTTGCCTCGTGGCTAAAACGTCCCTGGTGGAGCTTGCAGCACTGGATACACAGAGCTAGTCTCTGTTTACATCATTGCATTGTCTACCTGAGTGTGTGTATCTGACAGTGAGTATTCTTGTATCTGTATGTATGTTTCTCTGAGCATGTGTATGTTTGTGTACTGACTGGCCTTTGGCACTGAGTTTATGGCGAAGCTATGTTTTATGACGGTGTGTATAATGATTGCCTTTGGGGGGGTGACAGGGTGAGTAAAGGGGTAACTGTGGCAGGGTGAGTGTAAAAGAGCAGGTGGGTGCCTGCGTGTTGAGGGTTGACGGTGTGCATGGTGTCAGGGTATTTATATCGGCAGACATTTTGTGCTATGAGAGAAATTAAAAGTGTATATTCTGAGTCACTTTGAACAGACCAGACTCCATTTTGTTATTTTCAAGTTAACAAAAAGACACAAGATTTCTTTCTGTAAAACTAACCACTTTGCCAGAGCTAAAGGAATGCATAGTACAAACCAAGTGATAAGAAGAACGGGTGTTGGATAGACTGTCTAATGCTAATGGAATAGATCAAATCTAAACCCAGACAATTGTGACAGAGAAGATTAAATAATTTAATTTTACTGTCTATATCTATAAGGTCCCATTGTAAGTTACGGGTCAAAACTCAGATTTGCAGACACATAGTCTGGACAAAACTTAAAGAAACCCTTTGAAATTTTAAATTATGGCACTATAAAGATAACGCAAAATGACGTCAAAATAGCCACCAGGAAAAGTTAACTCTTTCCTGGATAGGTATGTTTAGTGGGACAAGACTGCCCTCTATAGACCAAATAACTAATTTGCGATCTGGAAGATAACCACACCTCTAGTGCTTCTATTGGGTTATCAACTGATGACGTACAGAGAGTCTGGCCCTTTAAAAGTTAGGACAAAGGGAAGATTGAGAGATGTAAAGGAGAAGGAAAAAGAGGAGAGAGGAATTGGAAGTTTGGGGGACTCCAACTCGGACAACATCTGAGACTAACACTCTACTCTTAAAACTCTAACACTTAGAATTTTACTGACTTTCTAACCAACACCATCTTTCACCATAACTCAATACAGACAGACATCCAAATAAGTTCCTGAGACTATCTACCAATCGGATGAAATATCTACTCAACTGGTAATTATACTGGTTTCATTTAATTAATTAATTAAATTAATTAAAATGTATTAAAGGACCACTATAGTGCCAGGAAAACATACTCGTTTTCCTGGCACTATAGTGCCCTGAGGGTGCCCCCACCCTCAGGGACTCCCTCCCGCCCGGCTCTGGAAAGGGGAAAGGGGTTTAAACTTACCTTTTTCCAGCGCTGGGCAGGGAGCTCTCCTCCTTCTCTCCTCCTCCGTTCCGCCCCATCGGCTGAATGCAAGAGCTGCGCGCGCATTCAGCCGGTCGCATAGGAAAGCATTTACAATGCTTTCCTATGGACGCTTGCGTGCTCTCACTGTGAAAATCACAGTGAGAAGCACGCAAGCGCCTCTAGTGGCTGTCAATGAGACAGCCACTAGAGGATTAGGGGGAAGGCTTAACCCATTAATAAACATAGCAGTTTCTCTGAAACTGCTATGTTTATAAAAAAAATGGGTTAACCCTAGAAGGACCTGGCACCCAGACCACTTCATTAAGCTGAAGTGGTCTGGGTGCCTATGTTATGGACAGATGAATTAAAATAAAATGGCTATTTACTAATGTCTATTTATTCTCTGTTCACTATGTTAAAACTGGCTTCTAGAGTAAATATTCCCTTCCCCCCCTACAATGTGTTCAGCTGCTGTTTACTATGTAAATTCCTCACATCCTGCTAGCCTCCCCCCTTCAAATCAATAAAACCTTGTGTAACCAAAATTCCTGTGATAACAACTCCCTTTACTAACTCCTCCCCCACTACCTTTGTGCCAGTTAACAGCTATATGCCACGTATAACAAAATGGAGAATCACTGTTTTAGAACTGAAAGAAACTACTCACTCCCCCTCCCATTGTGTATCCAGAAGTCTGTAATGATGACACTACATCCTGTAGGGGGGTTTAGACAAGAACCCTTAGACTGTTAACCAATTGGTGAATGTATACTGTATGTTTAAACTGTGACGTATTTTTGCTTTAAGAAGGAGCCCCCACTCCGGGGAATAAAGCATTCCTGGGTTTTTCACTGATCAGAAACTTTGTCTCCGGTGTGAATTACTTCTAGGGAAAGCGTGCACGCATTAATCAATCAATTTGGAAGGTGTAGATAGACAAATTATCAAAGTTTTCTTTGATCCAAAACACCTAGAGTGGTCCTTTAATAGCATTATATATGACTGGATAAAGCACGGTCAGATTTCCATATTAAGAAATCTTAGTTAACTAAAGAATATATAGTTATAAACATTCCAGATTTCCATATTAAGAAATCTTAGTTAACTAAAGAATATATAGTTATAAACATTCTGCAGGTGGAATTAAGAATAATTATATATTAATGTGATATTATCACGTGTTAGCATACCGTTGTTGTTATCCAGGTGTATTTATTTGCTCTAATTTAAGATAAGATATCTTTTAGACAAATTAAACTCTGCTTATATAATATGGTAGATTCTCTTATTGGATGGTTCCAGGAAATGACTAATGAACTGGTTTAAATGTTATTTTATTTAAAATTACATAAGAATAGATCTTAAGTACTTAGGAGGTCTAGCCAGCATTGAAAGGGTTATTCTGTTAGCCAGGGTTTTATGGCCCTTCGCTGTGAAAAGCTTCGCTTACTCTGTGTGAAAGATAGTCATAAAAAATCAGAAGACTTGACAGAAAATGCTGTTTAGCCATTGAAACGTGTTTAGCCATTCCTTTGTATTGCATACCATTTTATACTGGATATTCATTGATGATTGTCACGCATCTTACATATTATTATTATTAATTAACTTGTCATTATAAAATAAAATCTATTTTTATAATAAAATTGTGATATTATTTATATGAAATACTTCTCACTTAACACGATAACGATATTTGGGATCTAAGAATTGAATTAGTGGGCAATTCTCACTGTTACTATTATTATCCCATAAATATCCCCACAATGGAGGGAGGTGCCAGAGTGCGGAGAGTGGTGGCCGTGTCGGGAGGGTGACATAGTGTGAGAGGGAGGGTGATGAGGTGAGGGGGGAATGACAGAGTAAGAGGGGGGTGACGTAATGTGAGAGTATGGGTGACAGAGTAAGGGTGAGTGAGGGTGGGTGACATAGTGTGAGGAGGATGACAGAGTGAGGGGGTGATGGTGAGGTAACCGTAAGAGGGGGGTGACAAGGGGTGATGAGGTGAGGTGACAGTAAGGAAGGGGTGACCGGGTGAGAGGGGGATGACAGAGTAAGAGGGGGGTGACAATAACAATATCTGATATTAGGCCACATGTGCAATTATTATGTAATTAATGGACAACATACTTTTTCAATTTTGTCAAATTAGAAATTAAATATTGTTTGTCTTTTTTATATTGCCACTTTAAAAAAAATTAAAACTCTTAATTTTTAAATGTACAGTAATTTGTCTGTAATAATGTTAACTTGTTAATTATTGTGGGACAGTGGAGAGCAAACCCAAACTGGGACTCTACTAAACAATCCAGGACTGTTAGGAAATATGGCTTTGTAACAACATATGATAATTTATGGTGCATATAGGTCCTCTTGTCACTGTGCCTATGCATAGTTTTGCTTATAAATGTGATGACTTTCAAAAGATAGCAATAAGCATAGTAAGAAGTTGCTCTTTAAAAGCCCACGTCATCTCATTTAAATGGTTTGGGTGCAGTGCCAATGTCCCCTTAACTCTGCAATGTTAAATATTGCAGTTTCCGAGAAACTACAATGGAACGCAGCTAGTGATGGTATTATTTGGAGCTAAGTAACACAAATCGCATGTTAAGGTGTCAGCAAAATACTTTATTTCTTCAAAGTTAATATGCATTTTAGACTTTATATGTATAGTGGAAAAATTATAAAAGTCAAATTTGGAAACTGGTTAAGAAAAGTCACACTGTGGTATCCAAGAAGGAAAAAGTTCAATCACATGTAAAGAAAGCCTGTATGGCATTGGGAAGGTAGTATCTTAATAATATAATGGTCTCTTTCCCTGGACGGTCCACGATTCTTAATCACTGGAAAATGAAGGTTACATCATGTCTGCAGCATGTGTTCCGAAACAGCCATATGGACGTTTTCTATAGAAGAAGGTAATATCTTCTGTTTGAGCAGGTCGAGGTTAATGGTGGTGGGTTTGTCTCTGGCACTGGAACCATCAGTAAAGGAGTGTAAAATTGAGAGGATCACCTTGTTCTTCCCACAAATGTAAGAAAACACAGAACAGAAGATTGAGGAGAGTGGTTAACAAATCAATGAAACCGCAAACACTAAAACTAACTTGAAAAAATTCACAGTGTAAGCAGTGTTTAGGCGATACGGTCACAGTGTAAGCAGTGTTTAGGAGATACGGTCACAGTGTGAGCAGTGTTTAGGAGATACGGTCACAGTGTGAGCAGTGTTTAGGCGATACGGTCACAGTGTAAGCAGTGTTTAGGAGATACGTCACAGTGTGAGCAGTGTTTAGGAGATACGGTCACAGTGTAAGCAGTGTTTAGGGAATACGGTCACAGTGTAAGCAGTGTGTAGGAGATACAGTCACAGTGTGAGCAGTGTTTAGATGATATAGGCGTTTCATTCTCCACAATCACAGTACTTTTGGTTACCTTATAAGTATTACAATGACTCACATTGGTTGAATTGGCACATGAATACACATGTGAGCAGTAACGGCACGTCAAGGCTTCAACCCTTGTTACTGACCATTCACACACACCATACTTTGCATTCATCCGCATTCGGTATTCCAGATGTTTTGCACTACACCTCCCATAATGGTTTGCCAGCATTATGGGAGATGTAATTCACAGCATCTGGACTGCCCAAGGTTACCTACCTCTGAACACAGTACACAATGTTGAAGTTGCTGTGCAAACAGGAGCAGCTTGTCATGTGTCAGATGCCACTTCATTAGTTATAAATTCAATACTCCACCCTGGAGACGAGCATCAAACATGGGCTTCTTCATTCCTCTTCATGTACTTCGTGTCCCATAGGAGAACATGCTCGTCAGAGCTGTGACACATAGAAACATAGAATGTGATGGCAGATAAGAACCATTCGGCTCATCTAGTCTGCCCAAATTTTATAAATACTTTCATTAGTCCCTAGCCCTATCTTATAGTTAGGATAGCCTTATGCCTATCCCACGCATGCTTAAACTCCTTTACTGTGTTAACCTCTACCACTTAAGCTGGAAGGCTATTCCATGCATCCACTACCCTCTCAGTAAAGTAATACTTCCTGATATTATTTTTAAACCTTTGTCCCTCTAATTTAAGACTATGACCTCTTGTTGTGGTAGTTTTTCTTCTTTTAAATATAGTCTCCTCCTTTACTGTGTTGATTCCTTTTATATATTTAAATGTTTCTATCATATCCCCCCTGTCTAGTCTTTCCTCCAAGCTATACATGTTAAGATCCTTTAACCTTTCCTGGTAAGTTTTATCCCGCAATCCATGAACCAGTTTAGTAGCCCTTCTCTGAACCCTCTCTAAGGTATCAATATCCTTCTGAAGATGCGGTCTCCAGTACTGTGTACAATACTCCAAGTGAGGTCTCACCAGTGTTCTGTACAATGGCATGAGCCCTTCCCTCTTTCTACTGCTAATACCTCTCCCTATACAACCAAGCATTCTGCTAGCATTTCCTGCTGCTCTATTACATTGTCTGCCTACCTTTAAGTCATCAGAAATAATCACCCTAAATCCCTTTCCTCATATGTTGAGGTTAGAACTCTATCAAATATTCTGTACTCTGCCCTTGGGTTTTTACATCCAAGATGCATTATCTTGCACTTATCCACATTAAATGTCAGTTGCCACAATTCTGACCATTTTTTCTAGTTTACCTAAATCATTTGTCATTTGGCTTATCCCTCCTGGAACATCAACCCTGTTACATATCTTAGTATCATCAGCAAAAGACATACCTTACCATCAAGACCTTCTGCAATATCACTAATACAAATATTAAAGAGAATGGGTCCAAGTACAGATCCCTGAGGTACCCCACTGGTGACAAGTCCAAGCTTCGAATATATTCCATTAACTACAACCCTCTGTTGCCTGTCACTCAACCACTGCCTTACCCATTCAACAATATTGGAATCCAAACTTAAAGATTGCAGTTTGTTGATAAGCCTTCTATGTGCAACAGTGTCAAAAGCCTTACTGAAATCTAGGTAAGCAATGTCTACTGCACCACCCTGATCTATTATTTTAGTTACCCAATCAAAAAATCAATAAGATTAGTTTGGCATGATCTCCCTGAAGTAAACCCATGTTGTCTCTGATCTTGAAATCCACGTGTTTTTAGATGTTCATCAATCCTATCCTTTAACATGGTTTCCATCACTTTCCCCACTACTGAAGTAAGGCTTACTGGCCTATAGTTGCCAGACTCCTCCCTATTACCTTTCTTGTAAATGGGCACAACATTCACTAACTTCCAATCTTCTGGGACTACTCCTGTTAACAATGATTGGTTAAATAAATCTGTTAATGGTTTTGCTAGTACACCACTAAGCTCCTTTAATAGTTTTGGGTGTATTCCATCAGGTCCCATTGACTTATTTGTCTTTACTTTTGACAGTTGAAATAGAAACTCACCTGTAATAAATGACTCATTTATCCTTTTTCTCAACTGAGGTCCCTTTCCTTCATTTTCATCTGTAAACAGGCCCGGACTGGCCATCGGGCACACCGGGCAAATGCCCGGTGGGCCGCGGTGGCCATGGGCCGAGGCCGGCAGGGGAGATCACAGGATCTCCCCTGCCGGTCTATGCAGGGCCGGCACTATCCGAGCGCCGGCCCCGCTGTTTTCCATGAAGGGCCGGTGAGGGAAATCAAAGATCTCCCTCACCGGCCCACATGCTGTATAATGCGGCAGCGGGCAGGGGGAGAGGGGGGGAGACAGCCGCTAGGAGAGAGGACCCGGCGGAGCTCTAAATTAGAGCTCCGCCGGGTTCCTCTCGCGAGATCCGGCGCGTTGCCATGGCAACGACCGGATCTCACCACAAGGACCACCAGGGAACCCCCCCTCCCAGTCCCAGGGATCAGTGTGCCGGTCCCCCCCTCCCAGGCTAAAGGTAAGAAGGGAGGGGGGACATAATGCCTACTTTATTTATTTAACCCCCCTCCCCCCTACACACACAATCCATTCTAACATTTATACAGCACTCTCACACCCATCACTCTCACACACAGCACTTTCTCACACACATCACTCTCACACACAGCACTCTCTCTCACACAGCACTCTCTCTCACACAGCACTCTCACACACAGCACTCTCTAACACACAGCACTCTCTAACACACAGCACTCTCTAACACACAGCACTCTCTAACACACAGCACTCTCTAACACAGCACTCTCTCACACACAGCACTCTCTCACACAGCACTCTCTCACACACCACTCTCTCACACACCACTCTCTCACACACAGCACTCTCTCACACACAGCACTCTCTCACACAGCAGTCTCTCACAGCACTCTAGCACTCTCACACAGCACTCTCTCACACAGCACTCTCACTCACGGCACTCTCACTCACGGCACTCTCACTCACGGCACTTTCACACACATCATACACAGCACTCTCACACTCATCAGACACACACACACATCACACAGAGCACTCTCACACACCGCACTCTCACACACATCACACACCGCACCCCTCAGACACACATACTGCACCCCTCACATACACACAGAACCCCCTCAACACACTGCACCACACACATACACAATACTTCCAAATATATATTTATATATATACACACACTACACTCTTAACATACACACTCTGGATCCCCTATACACACACTAGATTCCTTGTAAGCAAACACATACTACACCCCTAAACATACACTACATCACCTATACACACACACACACACACACACTATAGCCTGTATGCACACACTTGCTATATCCCCAATACACACATTCTCTACAGCCCCTAGCCACATATGCATCACATTACACCACAAACACAACATGACTAAAACCAACCTTATTACACAATACCGCACCACAATCAGCTCACTCTACACACACGCAATACCACAAGCAGGTTCCAAACACATGCACAATACTCTTTCCTGGCATTTTTGTTTCCTGGTATCTTTATAGAGACACCAGAGACAATTTGCAAGGAAACACAGTGCAAGCATGTTATTAAATTTGCTTGCACTGTGCAGAACAAATACAGGGCTTTTTTTATCATGCTAGAGCTCTTCAGCAGAGCTCTGCGCATGGTCTGCCCTGGAAGAGCATTGAACCAACATGCTCACTTTGAGAGGGGGCGTGTTTGTCATTGGTGATGACAAAACACACCTCCTCTGCCCCCGCCCCTTTCTTAGTGGGCCGCTGTGTTAAAAAAATGCCCGGGCCGAATTTTTCTCCCAGTCCGGCCCTGTCTGTAAATACAGAACAAAAATATTCATTGAGGCAGTCAGCTAGACCTTTATCCTCTTCTACATACCTTCCTTCTTTTGTTTTTAACCCCTTAAGGACCAAACATCTGGAATAAAATGGAATCATGAGATGTCCTTAAGGGGTTAATCTAACTAATCCTTGTTTTACTTTTCTTTTCTCATTTATGTATCTAAAAAATGTTTTATCCCCCTTTTTTACTGACTGTGCTATTTTCTCTTCTGTGTGTGATTTGGAAGCTCTTATAACTTGCTTAGCCTCTTTCTGCCTATTCTTATAGATCATTTTGTCTTCCTGACTCTGTTTTTTTTTTTTTTATAATTCCTAAATGCTAACTTTTTGTTTTTAACTATTTTGGCCACATCTGCGGAGTACCACAGTGGTTTCTTGAATTTTTTGCTTTTACTGACAAGCCTAATGTAATTTTCTGTTGCCTTCAATAGTGCAACTTTTAAATAATCCCATTTCTCTTGGACTCCATTTAAATTGCTCCAGTCTGATAATGACTCCTCTACCCATATTCTAATTTTAGTAAAGTCTGTTTTTCTAAAGTCTAAAGCTTTTGTTTTTGTGTGGTGTGACTCAGTCACTGTTCTTATATTAAACCACACTGACTGATGATCACTGGATCCTAAACTTTCACCTACAGTAATATCTGATACCAAATACACTAAATCTAGTATGGCCTCTTTACGAGTTGGCTCCTCAACAACTTGTTTTAGAGACAATCCCAGTAGGGAGTTTAGAATATTTGTGCTCCTGGCACAAGTAGCTAATTTTGTTTTCCAATTTACATCAGGGAGATTAAAGTCACCCATGAAGATTACTTCCCCCTTCATTGTCATTTTAGCTATTTCCTCAACTAGTAGATTATCTAATTCTTCAATTTGTCCTGGGGGCCTATAAATCACACCTACACGAGTTACTGTGTGATTACCAAATTCTAATGTAGCCCAAACGGACTCTATGTTCGCCTCACTAACTTTTATTAGGCTAGATTTTATGCTATCCTTCACATACAAGGCCACCCCTCCCCCTTTCTTGTCTTCCCTATCTTTCCTATATAAAGAGTACCCTGGTATTGCTATGTCCCAGTCATTTTTCTCATTGTACCATGTCTCAGTAACAGCGACTAAATCTACACTATCAGTTGCCATTATTTCCACAAGTTCTTGGATCTTATTCCCTAAACTGCGAGCATTTGTAGACATGTAGACACACGCAAAAAGAAATAAACTGGTTAGAGTAACTGGCATAACAAACACAGTACATGAAGACTTGCGTGCCTCATACATACAGCAGACAGACACAAAGATTGTGGGAGACACACCGGATTAAATATAAGAATTGGGAGTACCATACATACACAATGCACAAAGAGACAGAGATTACTGAATTCGGTGACCGACGGATTTGGTTGCAGATGTGGGGCTGTCCCTCTCGCTGGGGTGCAGTTTCTCATCCTTCTCTGGCGAGTGACTAGATGGCTGCGGTTTCATAGCAAAAAGCATGCCATGGCATATGATATCTAGGAACTAAATATTTTTCTGTGAAACTAGTGTTGTACACATCTAACACACAGGCCACACGTACTGTACAGCTCACCATCTAACGCATAGCCCCCAAATATAATACACTGCCCCCCCACATGTAACAAACAGCCCCTACATCTAACACACTGCCCCCCACATTTAACACACAGGCCACCCCAATATACTGCGCAGCCCCCCATATACTGCGCAGACAGCCCCCCATATACTGCGCAGACAGCCCCCCCTATACAGCGCAGACCCCCTATACTGCACAGACCCCTCTATACAGCGCAGACCCCATACAGTGCAGACCCC